TTTTTTTGCCTCCGACCGCTCCTGCACCTCCGACTGCGACTGCTTCTCATACTTCGCCTTGGACTCCTTGGACAGGGCCCGCCACATTTGGCCGATCCGCGAAACAGTACTCTGCTGCTTCTTGGAGCCTCCCAAATGAACAAACTTCTTCGCCACCGACTGCCATTTTTCAGCCATGTACAAGGCGAACGGCGTGCGCTTCTTGGGAAGTACCCCTGAAGGCACCTTGCCATGTCCACGGATGTACGTTTGCCGCTTTGCACGCCGCTCCTTGGCCGAGAGCTTCTGATTTCTGTCTTCGCCTTCGACTTCCGCGTCTTCGACTTCGACTTTCTCATCTTCGACTTCCGGCTCCTGACATTCCACCTCATCATCTTCGGGTTCGGGTCTCTCATCTTCGGCTACGTCGCCTTCGAAGTTACCGTCCTCCAAATTTGTATGCGCAGCAACGGCAGCAGCCGGCCTTTTTTTTGAGGGTTTCACGTCCTTCGCCGCCAGCCCTGCCTTTGTTGAGGATTTCTTAGACACCCGGACTCGCGCCTGCGACGCTGCCGGTTTTGAAAAAACTGTCATGACTGGGACGGAGGGGCTCCGAACAAGGCGCAAAACTGCTAGCAACAGTTTGGCGGAATTTACAAACTTTTAAGCGTCTCGAGCCATGTACATGCAACACATGGACGACCACACAACATGCTTCGCGCACTGCAGCCAACTTCTGATCATGAACCCCGGGCTGTGTGTAGTTGCTGGGCGAAAGGAAAAACCCTGCCAAGCTGAGCTCTCTATTCTCCGGAGGTTGACGGTTTAGGGATACGTGTTTGAGTATAACACACTGCTGCAATTATTTGCCATACCAAACTGTACGTTTGCGTTTTGACCAAGGCTCAGTATGGATGAGCATTTCGTGGGCACACAAATTTTCACACAGAAAAATTCCAGATTCAATTCTCAAAATTCACCCTTACGTTTCTGAGCGTTTTTCAGTGCAGACAGCACCTGCAGCCAAACTTTTTTCCTGCGCGAAACGAAACTCCCTCATTTCTCAAGTTTGTGGAAAGCCACCCCTCACGGACCCAGGTCCTCTCGAGCAGCCACCCTTCGCGGACACAACGACTGGGACTATGCGAAGCGCCTGCGATGCGTCTGAGCGATGTGTCCGCAAAACGACTGCGAAGAAATCAAAATTGTGACCGAGAGCACGGCACCTTTAATCACTCATCAACCTCATCCCCATTGCCAGACATGGAGGAGGAATCCATGTCGACTTCCTGGTCTTGGGCCGTTGCCATCATTTCAGCCACACGAGCGCGCGCGGCCTGGAGATTCGCGATCTTGCGGTCGTACCTTAATTTCGAAACCCTGGTTTTGGTTTGAATGTGGCTGTGGCTCGGGAGCAGCAGCAGCAGCAGCAGCAACAGCCTAAGACCTTGACCGCAAGAACCCTGGTATACTGGTATACCTATATAAAGCCAACTAGTTGCTTGGCGAGGCGTGCGCGCTGCTGAGCGCTACGCCTGCGAGAAGCCACCGCACTCAAATCCTCGTTCGCGCCCGGCGTTGTTGTGATCTTGGCCTCAACAACTTTCAGCTCGCACTGACGCAATGTTTCCTCATACTCGTTGCTTGTGTTCGACGGCGCCTGCGACCAAGCCGTCTCCCACACCGAAAGCCAGGACAAGGAAGACACTGGGTTCATGACTTGCGCGCCCAAAGCAACCGGGATCTTGAAACTGACAAGGGTCGTCTTCGAAAAGCTCGCGTCCGACCCCGCCTCCGACACCGAACCCGCCTGGGACCTCAAGTGATCACGCGCTGCCAACCCGATGAGGGCGGCTGGCAGAACTTCCGAGAACAACAACACGGTCTCTGCGGACGTTCCTGCCGAGTCATTCTGCGACCCAGCTGCCGCCTTGCCATACTTCGACGTGGTGAACCTCACGTATACACCCAGGGATACGTGCACAATGTATATATCTAGTAGCTTTATGTCAGGAAGACGAGTAAGGTGAAAAATCACGCACATTCAACGGCTCCTACCTCTGCCCTTCTTAGTAAGCGAGAAATCCTAAGCTGCTGACTTGGACGCAACTGTCTTCATATACGCGTGGTTGCCCACGTCGAAGAAGGCAGTCATCTTCTTCTCGAACGACTCTGAGATCTGCAAAAGATCGTAGAGACCCTGGCTGACGGGCACGTAAAACGTCCATTTCATAGGCGCCTGCGATGTTGAGACCGCCTGCGTTGAGACCGCCTGCGCCTGCGACGTCCCGCCTGCGGAATGGCCAGTCTCGGCCAAACAGACAGTCAGGCGATGCTTAGTCGCCTTCAGCAACATGTCCCCTTGCTCACAACTGCCGGGGAACAGCGAGTCGTTCAAGGGCCGCAAGCTCTGCGCTCTGTAGCTGGGTTGCACAGCTGCGCCTGCGTTTGCGACCACGAGACGCTGTCGCAAGACAGTCTGGAAGCCTTCTGCGCGAGTGATGGTCAGCTGGAAGACCCGAAACTCGGCAGTCTCTTTGAGGAGAGCACCCACAACATCGGCTGCGACATCGCGGTTGACGCGCTGCTTCTTCGCCTGCGGGGTCGCGTCGCTCCAGCTCACACCCAACCTCAGCAGACGCTGCAAGCCCAAGCCTACTCTACCCCCCTCAGAACAAACAACATGACACAGAGTCCCCAGCGTGCGGGACGTAAAGCGCAAACTGGCCATGATGGCGTCCATGGCCGTCGGTGCTGTAGAGCACTGATGGATGACAACCTTCAGTATTAAGCTCTCAATTTTCAACCAGTACTGGTCAGCCACATGTTCATGTTTCTATTACTCGAAATAACACTACAGACACGAAGACCCAGACCTCCTTGTTCAGAGAGCGTACAAGGTTGCCCCACTCTGACTCGGGCAAGGCGATGTAGCCTAGCACATGATGCCCTGAAGACTGCGCCATGGCCATTGGAAGGTTGCGGGAAGCTTAGCGGGCCGAGGCGTGTCTCAAAGCCAAAAAACTGCAACCAACACACTTTCACAACAACAGACAACGAAGGCGCACGCCAATGACTTGCAACTTCCAACTGCCTGGCACATCCTGGAAGCATATTCCGCTGCCTTCCACCTCTCTCGCACTGGAACTTTGATTTAGATTAAAGTCTCAAAGAACAGCACTATAAGTGTTGTTTCGGCGGGGCTCTCAATGATTAATGTACCTGCGTCACCTCAAGCTTGCGTGCAAATTGCCTGGGAGGGCCCCTGTACTGATCACGCGCCTGTAAATAATCGCTGCTGCAAGCTGAATATTGTTTTGCCTCTTTTACGAAGCTGATTTCTGAAACAGTTAAGTTACGCAAGGATTGTCCAGGGCCCCCTCATGGTGGACGAAATATTTTACTTTCGTCCTTAACAACCCCTGCTCCCGCGTCCTGAATAGCCTAACAAGCGTGGGACCCAAGCCGCGAGCATTCCCTGGACTTTTTGCAGTTTTTGCCACGCGTCACTCATCTTTCATCTTCA